CACATCTGGTAGCTTACAACTGCTAGCAACCCCAGCTCTGGGGGGATCTCACACCTCTGAGGGTACACACACACAAGCATATGCACACACACAATTTAAAACAATAAAGCTATTTTTTAAAAAAGGATTATCCTTCCACATTCTCAGTAGGTAGAATCACAAGCACAATAGATGGGGTGGCTCATTTGTGACAATATACGCCAGCAAGAAGCCTGGAGTTTGGATCCCCAGGACCCACACGGATGTGGGGGCAGTTATCATGTCTAGGCTCACAGGGAATTTCAGTAACTAGACAGAACCGCCCAGTTCCGCCCAGTTCAGTCAGTTTATCTAGAGCAGTAAATCCTACTGACCCCATTTTCCAGAGGGGAGACTGAGGCTTGGAGCATTAATAGCCCTTGCTGAGAGTCCCATGCCAAATACACCGTGGCAGAATGCCTTGAACCTTGCAAGGTTTCCTTTCACGACTCTTTTTAAGTTTTAGATTTATTTATTTTATATGTATAAGTGATTTGCTTAAGGGAGCACATGCGAGAAAAACACTCAGAGACATAAATCTTAAAAAAAAAAAAGTTTGCTGGCACTGTTGGTATGTGGACCACATGTGAGCCTAGTGCCCTCAGAAGTCAGAAGAGGGCAGTGGGTCCCCAGGAACTGTAGTTACAGCTGGTTGTGTGGGTGCTGAGAATTGAACTAGGGTCCTCTGTGAGAACACAAGTGCTCTTAACTGCTGAGCCATCTTTCCAGTCCGCATCCACCCAGAGCTCAGAGCTCTTGTCCTGGTGGCGTGTGCGTACGTGTGTGTGTGTGTGTGTGCGCGCGTGTGTGGTGGGGAGGGATTCTGGGGTTGAGATCTGGGTGAGGAGCTCCTGGAGTATGAGTTAGGTCTGTGCCTGCAGATGGGGGGCCAGACGAGATTATCAGGTCACTATAGTTAGTGCTGAAGAATTACAGTCTGCGCTACAAGTGACACTCTGTTAAATTCATTTTTTATTATTGTGTGTGCACATGATGTATGTGTGGGCCCGTGGGCCATGATGTATGCATGGAGGGCGGAGGGCAGCTCTTTGGAGGTGTGTCTCTCCTTTCACCTTTGCATGGGATACAGGGATCACAACCACATGATTAGGCTTATGCAGCAAGCACCTGTACCAGCTGAGCCACTTGAGGCTTTCTGTGGGGGCACTAAAGTCTACCAGACAGGTCCCCTGCCCCAAACCTCTGTGCCTTGGACATGCTAGGCAAGTATTTGATTGCCGAGTCACACCCCAGCCCCTCACTGGGGGATTCTAGGCAGGGGCTCTACCACTGAGCCACACCTCCAGCCCCTCACTGGGGGATTCCAGGCAGGAGCTCTACCACTGAGTCACACCCCAGCCCCTCACTGGGGGATTCTAGGCAGGGGCTCTACCACTGAGCCACACCTCCAGCCCCTCACTGGGGGATTCCAGGCAGGAGCTCTACCACTGAGCCACACCCCAGCCCCTCACTGGGGGATTCCAGGCAGGAGCTCTACCATAGTGGCATGCACCGAGGCTCCTACTAGAGGATTCTAGGCAAAGGCTGCATAGCTGAGCTACATCCCCAGACCCATTTTTATTTGTTTATTCATTTTACTGTTTTTTTTTTTAATTTTTGAGACAGGGTCTGGCTATGCAGCTCAGGATGGCCTTGAACTTTCAATCATCTCACCTTAACTTCTCTCTCTACAGCTGGGATTACAGGCAGTTTCTTTTTTAACGTCTTCAAATAACTCCCGAGGTTGGATTTTCTTCCAGTTTCTTGCCCTGAGTAACATCCTTTTCCTCCCAGTGGCATTTGTCACCCAGCCAGGTATTCAGACACCTGTCAGAGGAGCTCCTGTCCCTCCCACCCCCATTGCCCTAACGAGGTTTGTTTGGTCTGCTATCACCTGTGATGCCCTGGTCGAGCCCTTCACCTCTGTGAACCTTAGTGTCCTCTTTAACAGGGTATCTGCCATAGACTCTGTCCACACAGCAGAGCCAGCCTCGCGAGTTCAAGTCATAATCCTGTTTCTTTTTAGTTGAGTGTTCTTGCCCAAGTTCCCAAGCCTTTCTATGCTTCAGCCGTTCATTTGAAAGATGGGTATCGGAATTGTAAGTATCCAATGACCCATGCCCAATAGTTTCCACAATACTTCCTGGCACCATAAATGTTAGCCGTGACTATAATTTATTGATATTTCTGCATCATAGCATGTGGGGAGAATGAGATGGAATTGCATGTCAGGCATTAAGCAATGATATGCTAGCCATTATGACATCAGTGTCATTATTGTTAAGTCTGCATTTGGAAGCTGGGGACACAGAAGCTCAGAAAGGGTTAGCCAAGCATTTCACAGTCACCACTGTCCTCCATTGAAAGGAACCAGTGAGCTGGGTGGTGGTGGCGCACGCCTTTAATCCCAGCACTTGGGAGGCAGAGACAGGCAGATCTCTGTGAGTTCGAGGCCAGCCTGGTCTACAGAGGGAGTTCAGGATAGGCTCCAAAGCTACAGAGAAACCTTGTCTCGAAAAACAAAACAAAACAAAAAAGAACCGGCAATTTTGAGATCAAAGTCACCAATACTTGCCTTGCTTTAGGGTATTTTTCTCAATAGAGAACTGTTCTTTTGTATTTCCTGGCCTCAGTTTCCCCAAATACAGTCTGGAGGTGGAGAAGGGTCTGCAGGCTATAATCCCTAAAGACTCCACTTAGTTTTGCCACTGTAGAAGGAAACATGAAATCCCAAGTCTCCCTGACCTGCAGCCGGTGAGTCCAGAGTTCAATAAATCCTGGATCTGCCACTTAAGAGCCCTGTGACCTTGGATAAGCTGTTTCATCTCACTGAGCCTCGGTTTCCCTCACTGGTCAACACACACACACACACACACACACACACACACACACACACACACACAGAGAGAGAGAGAGAGAGAGAGAGAGAGAGAGAGAGAGACCCACACACCTTCAATAATCTCTTCAGGGGTTGTATTGAGAAATCCACCCAGATCTCAGAGCCTGCCTGGTGGGAGTGAGCGCCACAAGCAGCACTGGAAGGGACCTTCGTTAGCAGTCACTCATGACAATTGCCGCCTAGCCAAATCTGGGTTCCTGATCCTTTCTGGGACTGGCAACAGCAGCAGGCAGGAAGGAAGAAAGGAAGCCGGCTTTGGACATTTTCATGTGTGTGCTGGGGGTGGGTGCAGGAAGACTGGGCAGGAAATTCTCTCCCACCCTCCCCCAACTTCCCTTTCCTTCAATTTCTGCTGAGCACCCTCCCAGGCATTCAAGGGATCTTGGAATCCTGACCCACCTGACTTGAGGTGAGGTGGCCTGGGTTGAGAGAAAGAAGTGGGGGCTCCCTGTATTCCAGGGGAGGCAGTGGGGAGTCGGCACCTGACAGTGAGCCAAGCTAGAGGAAGGTTATAGACACTCTTTGCTCAAGACAAAATGAAGAGGGGATTTTAAGATCACGTGAGAGAATCTATCTGTTTTGGGGTCTCCTTCCGATCAGAGAGCCGGAGAGCTCTGAGGATCCCCCTTCTCTCATGGCCCACGTTTCCTGCACCCACTAGCATCAAGGGTAGCACCTCGAGTCCCCTGCTTAGCGTGGCCTTTTCTGCTCTGCACACACACCTCTCGCAGATGATACACATAGAGGGTCTGTCCGTTCTGCGTTGCCCACACGTCTCTGAGGTGTTGTCTCACACACACACGCACACACGTTGTCACACCCCACATCTTCCCCGCAGCTCTGGTGTAACACACCCAGCTATGCTACACACACCTCCCTGTGTTACATACACATCATCTCCCAGATCCAGGGTGTCTGTCCTAAGCACACATCCCTAGTCACTTGGAAGTCCATTTTTGGCTTTCCTTGTGAACACACCCTCAATGGGTTTCACTGAACCATAAGCCCCAGCTCTCTTTTCATACCCTCAACCACCCCCAGTCACACACCCCCTCTGATGTCACCGTTGCACACCTCCATGTGTCACACCCAACCATAGCCTCTCTGGAGTCACACCCACACCCTTTTCCTTGTCACATCCCCGCATCAGCTTTTCCTGGTCCCACTCCACCCCATACGCATCGGTAACCCACATGTAGCACCTTTCCCCAATCCACACATATTCCCATGGTTCACACTCCGAGTCCATCCTTTCTGCCTCCCTACACACCCCCTTGCATGTCACACACACCCCTCTCACTCATGTGTCACAGTACAAGAACCCCCTCCGGAGTGACAAGCACATACCTTCCCGTGTCACACACCCACACTGGAGGGTCTCATATCCAGCCGTGTCTTTTACACACACACTCACACCCACTACCCTGTCATATCCATGGTCTCTTAATGTCGCATATCCAGGCCCCACAGGACCCACACAGATACACACACCTGTCCTGGCCTTTCATCTCTTTCCCCTCCAGTTTTACACACCCACCCTTTCCTCCATGTCACCCAACACACCCACCCAGCTTGTCCCCACGCATGGTCTCGCATACAGTCCACACCCGCCCCTTTCCGGGACAGCCCTTGCTCAGGACATCCCCAGGGAGGGAGGTTCAGAAGCTCCCGGTCCACAGGCCTGTCTCTACTCCTTCCCCTCCCCCAACCGGGATACGCAAACCCGGGGGAACACCCCTGTCCCGAAAGGGTCACATCACACACCCCTCAAGGACACACTGGCTCCAGAAGGGACCCACGCCCCTCATCCTTGACTCCCCTCCACCCCACAAGGACACTTACCACCCCCCTCCCCCCCAGTCCCTCTCGTCGCAGACAAAGCTCTCAGCCCCAGGGGCCTCGGCGACAAGAGAAAGGGGTCCGTCCTGGTCCCCAGCTCCTCGCGGAGGACCGCCCCTCCCCTCTCCGGAGCACTTGCACCTGCCAGCCAGGGATGGGGGGGGGGATGATGGAGGACGGCGATGCCCCCTTCGGCGCGCGATTCCCCCACGCCCCACGCCGCGGTCCCGCAGCCCTGCCTCACCTCCCGTGTTGCTGCGCTTGGTGCAGACCACCTCGGGGGGCGTCTCGAGGGGCCTCTTGCGGGAATCCGGGGCCTCGGGCTCCATGGGGGGGGCCTGGGGCGGCGGCTGCTGCTGCTGCGGCGGCTGCGGCGGCGGCGGCGGCTGCTGTGGCGGCGGGGACGGCTGCTGGGGAGGCTGGGGCTGCGGCGGCGGCGGCGGCGGCGGGGGCGGCGGCGGCTGCGGGGCCGCGGAGGCCGTGAAGAGGCCGTGCACCGCGCCGGCGGCCATCATCCTCATGGTGGGGGGGCGGGGGAGGGGGAGGGGAAGGAGGGGGGAGGGGAGGGGGCGGTGAGGAGGGGGAGGGGAGCGGCGGGGAGGGAAGCGGGAGGGGGGGAGAGCGCTGACAGAGCTGGGAGGACGGGGAAGAGCAGGGTGGAGAGGGTGTGGGGGGGGGATATGGGATGGAGAACTGAGGGGTGGGGTCCTGGTCTCTCAAAGATCACCGAAGCCGGCACTTGGCTGAGCCAGTGGGGTGCAGAGGGGACAGGACACCCTCTCTGTGCCCTTTCTTGGTGGTTCCCCACAGATGCGGAGGGCCGAACCCCCCTCCCAAGGCCCTGTTCAGGGTGGGGGGCCGGAGATAAGAAGCGGAGGCGGCCGCTAGTGGGGGCCTGGGGGGCTGCGGGCGCGGGCGGCAGCGGCGACGGGGCTGGTGGTGGTGGCTGCCGGCCCGAGCATCTTCTCAGCCTAGGCTCCCACAGCGTCCTGGCCCCTCCCACTCGCGCAAGGTCACGCCCATGCCAGACAGGGCCACGCCCTTAGGCACCCTCATTGGTCCACTTTTGAAGCCTGGGCCACGGTCCTCCGGGTTGGCCACGCCTATCACTCTTAGACGCGAGAGACCTGACTCCCGCCCCTGCAGGGTATAATAAGGACCGTGAGCCTCCTCCACGCCTTCCTTCCTTACCCTTCACCCTTTTATTTGCCGAGGGGCAGGGCAGGACAGAGTCAAATGTAACCCAAGCTGACTTTGAACTCACTTTGTAGCTCAGGCTACCCTTGAACTCTGGATTCTCCCGCCTCCATCCCTCAAGTGCTGGGATTAGGGGGATGTGCGTGACAACCCTAGCTACTTGCCCCTTCTAAAGAGCGTTTCTTAATTTTCATTTAATCCTACAGGGAAACAAAGATGGGACGTACTTTTATTTATTAATCTGTCTTACAGCTGAGGGTACTGAGCCTCAAAGACCTGAAACAGCCAAGCGTGGGTGCTCACTCACATAATCCTAGCACTTGATGGGAGGAGGCAGGAGAATTGCCTTGAGTCTGAGGTCAGACTGGGTTACAGTGTAAGACCTTTTGTTAAAAAACAAGCAACAACCCAAGCAACAAGAAACGAAACAAACAAACAAAACAAAAGAAAGAAGAAAAGGGAACAATGGCAAGTGGTCCCTATCACTTGGTCACAACAAGAAATGTCCCTTCAAGTGCCATCTGACTGTCAGTAAGAAAATTCCCCTTTGGATTGTCCATCTATCCATGAAGAATGGATATAAGGCTACTGTTGGGCTCACAGGACTGAAATCAAGTTAAAACAAGTAGCTGTCACAGAAGCCAACTGGCACTCAGTTCTATCAACAGTACTGATGGCCCACCCACTGAGTGACAGATACTGCCCTAGACCCTGGGACACAGCACGGAACAAAACAGCCTTACTGCTTTGTAGAGTAAGTATTTTCATTCTGGTCACTAGATAGAAATTTTTGATTTTCAGATGACAGAGTGGAGGCCGCTTTCAGAAAGGCTTTTCCAAGGGCACACGGATAGACAGGGAGAAAACTGGAATTTGGACGGAGGACAAGCCTAATTCCAAAGCCTGAAGCCATAGGAGATAGGAGGCGCTTCGTTGGAGTGGGTTGTTGCCAATATTCTGTGTTCTCAGATATATGCGTTTTCTGCTCCCTAGCTGTCTGGTCTCCAGGGCTTTCTTCCTTTCTAGCTTGGTCAGAGGCAAGTCTAGTCACAGAAGGGTTCAGGAAGGGGTAGCTGTGGCAGCTGGGGGGGGGGGGGTCTGTGACACTAGGATCTGCTCCACTCCACCTGCCCCTCCCTTGCTGTGCTCTCAGGTCCCCAGGACAGTAAAGGCAGCAGATGGCCTAGGGTGGATGAGGTGGATGCCCATCTGTCCCCTCCCCCCATTGTCCCTTCAGCCAAGGGGGATGGGAGGGGGTTGTGGTCCACTGCAGTCTGGATCCTCCCCCTCTATCTTCCTGGAGGGAGCTGAGGAGCTGGTTGCCATGGAGACAGAGAAGAGGCAAGAGGGGATGCAGGGAAATACTGAGGTTGGGCTCAGATCCACACCTTAGGAACTTAGCATGTCACAGACCCAGGGTACACAGGTGACATCTCCCGGCATCCATGGAGTTGCATGTAAAGTTCTTCCCTAAATACATACACAGTCACATGGGGCACACATTTTATGCTGATTTAGAAAGACTGACAGGAGAGGACTAAGGAGACGCTTGTGTACACACACACACACACACACACACACACGCACACGCCCCTAAAATGCACACTTGGTCATTCAGACCAAAACCACAGCACAGGCTCCTACACACAAATAGATAGATGTGTATTTAATATCAAAGCAGTGACATCTAATATCCAAATATGTCCCACGAAGGCATATTTAGACTCACAGTTCCAAATTCGTCTCCCAGAAGTTACACATATGTGATCAAAGCCACAAGAAACATACAACCTCGCTTATATAAGACATGGTTGGTGACATGGGAAGTCTAAACTGAGTGGCCTTCATTATAGCTCAACATAAACTGGGTACTGCGTGTGGTTAGACACAGGACCAGCAAAGTCTGGCACCCACGATGACTGGACTTCAAGGGCCACTCAGAGGCAAGTGCACAACACACTTGGATTGCTGTGTGTTATGAAGCTCCCAGCCCTCTCCCCAGGTCATGCCTGCAGCCCCAGTTCCACCCAGCTTTCCCAAACACTCCCGTTTGGACCCACACCAAACAGCATGGTCGGCCGGGCACTCACACTCACACAAACACAAACCTCCTCCTAGATATTTTTAAACCAAGGCTAGTTCTGCTGTCATGGCAACCGCCCCAAACCCATCACCATAGCAACCCAACGTCAGCTTTCCAAGCACCAAATCCTGGGGGATTGTAAGGCCCCAATCAGAGGTGGTGGAGGGGGCTGCACCTTCTCCCTTCATCCGTGCCACCCCAGTGTGTTCAGGGGGATGGCTCAGTCTGGACAGGGTCCAGGACCAGGGCCACCAGAGACCCAGCCCATGCAAAGAAGGGCAGCTTCACCCCTTCTCTCTCTCCACTGCTGTGTGCGGGAGTTCATTGTCGCACAGGTAGGCTCTGACTTGGACACACAGGAGCCGGGATTTGAATCCTGGCTCTGTCATTTACATGCGGGGTGACTTAGGCATATCCTTACTGCTCTGAGTCTTACGCTATTAATTCAGAAAGTGTCCCATTCACGCTTAACTCCTTGAAGAATCACTCTGTGATTCAGTGGCAAGAGGTCCATGTCTGGACTGGTGAGCGGGCTCAGCGGGTAAAGGTATTGCCAGCCAGCTGAGGACCTGAATGTGATCGCTGGAGCCCGCACTGTGGAAGGAGAGAAATGACTCCTCAAGTTGTCCTTTGACCTTCAGCACACACGTGCGCTTGCACACAAATGAAACATAACTAAAAAATAAAAGTATAGGCGGGCAGTCTAACCTTCCCAGCTTCTGACTTAATATGATTGAATGTGATGGATTGTCTTTCCCTGAAACAAACTTGGGGTAAAGAGTCCAATCACACAGGGCTGCTGGGAACATGTCCCAACACTGAGAGGCATGGCTCGCTGCTTTAAGAATTTTGTAGGTACTAACTAATTTAAGACTTAACCATAGCCGTATGGTTAGGTTATTATTATGATTTCCCTTTTGCAGAAAAGGAAACAGGCCTGGAGTGTGTGCTGTCACCTAGATACTAAAGCTTTTTTAGGGAGTTTATCTATGACCTTGTGCATTCTAGCCAAGAGCTCTAGTGCTGAGCCACACCCCAGCTCCTCACTGGGGGATTCTAGGTGGGGGCTCTACCACTGAGCCACACCCCAGCCCTCACTGGGGGATTCTAGGAGGGGACTCCACTACTGAGCCACACCCCAGCCCTCACTGGGGGATTCTAGGAGGGGACTCCACTACTGAGCCACACCCCAGCCCCTCACTGGGGGATTCTAGGCAGGGGCTCTACCACTGAGCCACACCCCAGCCCCTCACTGAGGGATTCTAGGCGGGGGCTCCACTACTGGACTATACCTACAGCCTCTCACTGGGGACTTCTAGGCAAGTACTCTATAGCTGAATGACACTTCCATTTTTTTTTTTTTTTTTTTAGATAGGGTTTCCTTGTGTAACAGTCCTAATTGTCCTGGAACTAGCTCTTGTAGACCAGGCTGGCCTTGAACTCACAGGGATTCACCTGCCTCTGCTGGGATTAAAGGCTTGTGGAACCATGGCCTGGCTTTTATTTTTTATTTTATTTATTTATTTGAGACAGGGTTTCTTTGTGTAGCTTTGGAGCTTGTCCTGGAGCTCACTCTGTAGACCATGCTGGCCTCGAATTTATATCCCCTTGCCTCTGCCTCCTGAGTGCTGGAATTAAAGGAGTGTGGCCACCATCTCTATCCCTATTTTACTTTTTATTTATTTTTTTCGATACAGCCTCTCTCTCTCTCTCTCTCTCTCTCTCTCTCTCTCTTCCACGTTGGCCTTGAGCTCACAGAGAGCATCCTGCTTCTGCTTCTCTAGTGTGGGGACTACAGACATGAGCCACTATGCCCAGCTTCCTTTTCGTTTTGATTTAGGATCTCACCAAGTTACCCGGGCTGGCCTCAGACTCACAATCCTTCTTTGCTTCTGCTTCCTACGTACCTGGCTGGAATTACTGCCCTGTGCCACCAGGTCCCGTCGAGCCTGTATTGAAAGATGGCATTTGAACCTAGGAAGTCAAGGACGCATTCTTAACCATCTTTCCCCTCTGCTTCTCAACGAGGCAGTTTGGAGGAGGGGGTAACGTGGTGGTGGATTCTTGGAGAGACTTTGCAGCTTTTGTGTCTAGCAAAAAGGGTGCTGACACGGCGTCGCTGGCCGGGGGTAAGGAGGGTGTGCCACTAGTTCTGGGGGACATCTAAGGATTGGCTGACTCTGAGCACTCGCAAGGCGGCATAGGTGGAAAAAAGCAGATAGAGAGCTGCAGGACCAGTGGGTAAGTAGGCAGGTATCAAGTGCGCAGGCTCAGGAGAGACTGGCCCCGCCCTCTACCCCTCCCTCCCAGCTGAGTGACCTCTATCCAGCCTGGGCTGTCTCTAGTCTGTCACCATCTGTCAAATGGGAATCAGAGCTGAGGGTGTGGTGAGGATTCCACCGGTCCAAGCCACGAAAACAAAAGAGCTCAATCTGAGTTGCACACATCCTCTCGGGATTTAGGAGAGGCAGGATTGTGTGGTGCAGGGTTTTGCAAACTTTCTGAACTCGCTGTAAGAAATTATGTTTTTTGGGCTTGCAAAGTGGCTCAGCAGACGAAGGCGCTGGTAGTCAAGCCTGGTGGCCAAGTGTGATCCATTGGACTCTCCCGACAGAAGGAGAAAACCAAGTCCCGAGACTGTCATTTGATCTCCACGAACCCCAACACTTCACACAAATGCATTTATC